TTTTTGGGGGGGACAGAGAGAGACAGAGCATGAACGGGGGAGGGTCAGAGAGAGAGGGAGACACAGAATCAGAAACAGGCTCCAGGCTCTGAGCCATCAGCCCAGAGCCTGACGCGGGGCTCGAACTCACGGACCGCAAGATCGTGACCTGGCTGAAGTCGGATGCTCAACCGACTGCGCCACCCAGGCGCCCCAAGCATCCAACTCTTGATTTCAGCTCAGGTCATGACATCACAGTTCATGGGTTCGAGTCCCATGTCGAGCTCTGCGCTGAGCATATGGAGCCTGCTTGAGATTCTCTCTCTCCCTGTCTCTCTGCCCCTCTTGCTCACACTCACTCTCTCTCTCCCTCAAAATATATTAACTTTTAAAAAAAGTTTTTTTTTAAAAAGAAGAAAACTTTCAATAAACATATAACTTGCCTTCGTGGTTTTCAAGGCTGCATTTCCTATTGGATGAGTGGTACTGAGGAGAGCCTCAAAGTTAGAGCATGAAAACAGACTCAGTTGTATTCAGGTTATATACGCATGCAGACGTTGACTCGTGTCCCAACACTAAAGGAGTCTTGCTTGGAAATGTCTTGATTTGTCATCTAGAAACCCAACCAGGTGTGTAAAGTCCCTTTTGAAATTCCTTCTAGGCACAGACTTAAGAACAACTCCCGAAGCAGACATGCTCTATAGCCTTGCCACTAATTCCGCTCTGCCTCTGCCTGTGCATGTGCGTGTAAGTGTGGGTACGATACTCCATGAGGAGCAGGCACGCTGAACACAGAGCAGCAGGAAACCCCTTGGTCTATCTACATCTCTGCCTACACAAGCACAGGCAGCTAGCAGCGCCACAGATATGTATATGCAGCAAAAACCAAGGGAGGGAGGGAGTGATGTGCAGGCAGACCAGCAGAGAGATGCGGGACAGCTTCTCAGCTGCTCTTTCTGCTGGGATCTGTGGACACACGGGGTTTCTTATCCCTTTATCATGCCCACAAGGCCTTACCATGTATCCTACATACTTCCTGATGACCACAATGATGACAGAACAGAGATGCCGCCTTCATCACACCTGCACGCACACCTCCCACTGCCTCTCTGTTGCCCCTCTCCCAAACGTGCCTTCTTTCCTCTCCTCTCTGCCCATGAAGCCAACCTTCAGTGGCCACCTCTATCTGGTCTGGCTCCCTCCACCCACGCTGGCACCTGTCTGGCAGCTCCCCACCCCCTCAGCCCTCAGGAGGCCAGGGCCCAGGGCCCGGGGCAGGGCACACGTGGAACAGGTTGATGCTGTTCTCCTGGAAGTAGAGCAGGATAGGGGTGGGGTCACTGGGGCAGGCGGGGTCCCTGGAAGCCTACATCCTTGCCTCCAGAGAAGCATAAAGCGGCAGCCTGTCCTGGTGAGGGATAGTCACTCTCTCAACCTACAGACTGAGAGCCGGCTGCTGGACAGAACCTAGAACTGCTCTCTGGTAAGAGCCTGATGACAGCAGGGGAGGTGGGGGGTGTTCTAGGGATGAACAAGAACATGGGTGGGAAGAGAAGGGCCTAGAAGTCCCCTAGAGCCCTGGGGGGTAGGTGTCTTCATAGGCCTTGGAGAGAGAAGTGAGGAGTGGTCCTGTGAGCTCCTCTCTGGTGAGGAGGAGACAGCACTCACCTGATCCCTTCCCAAAGGCATCTGGCTGGCCCCAGGAGGTTGGTCTGGCCTGGCCCTTCCAGGAATGAGGAGTAAAAAAGGCACACTGGAGCCCATGCAGTTGGCAGGCTGGTCCCATGCACCTGTACGTGTGCCTCCTGCTTCCCTGACTCTGTGAGGTGCCCAAGGGGGCTGTGAGGCAGTTCCAGGCCAGCTGCTGTGTCCTCTTAAAGCCACAGGAATAATCCAGCTGTGCCAGCTGGCCACCCAGCCAAAGCACCTGGACTTGAACCTCAAAGACAGAAACCTAAGACTCTGAAGGTCAGGCTCTTGCAAACCCCACATTCTCCAGGGCCCTCTCACCCCAGTATGTGCCTCCCAGGGCCACATTCATTCATTTCTTCATTCATTGTTTCCACACACATTTGCCAAGCTCCAGGTCTGCACCAGGCACTGTGCTTGGTGCTGATGCTACAGGGATGACTAAGACCCATTTCCTGCCCTCTGGGAGGCCACAATCAAGTAGGCGAGAGTCAGGTGCACAGATCACAACATGACATTGCAGGTGTTTCGGAAGGGCATGTACAAAGTGCTTTGGGGACACAGGATAGAGTCACCAGCTGCCTGGAGAGGAGTGAGAAGGGAGTTACCAAAGAGGTGACCCAAAATGAATCTTAATGAATAGGGATTGGAAGGGGGCGTATTATAAGCAGAGGGAGCAAAGGCAAATGCCTGGGTGTATTGGGTAGCACCTGGAGGGAAGTGGGTCTACTCGCGCCCAAGAACCAGGAGGTGGGCACAAGGGAAGTACAGGGTACAGGGAAGTGACCCCCCACCCAAAGAAAGGACAACCGGGGCAGGTAAACAGCATCTGCCTCCTCAGGCCCTCGGCACCAGTGGTGGCTGCCTCCTTCCCTGGCATCCCAGGTCCCCGCTGTCACAGTTCTCTGGGGAAGACGAGGTGGGCACAGCTGTATGAGAGGAACTTTACTTGCAGCACTAATGAAATGCTCTAGCCAGGCTCCGAGTCCATGAAGAAAATGAATACAGGGTGAGCAAAGAGCCCTTGGCAAACAGAGGGAAGGCCTGGCTTCTCTAAGCAGCCCTGTGACTTCGGGCAAGTTGTCTCAGCTCTCGGGGCTGTGTCTCCTCGTCGTAAAGAGAAGACTCCTTTAGTTCCTTTCAGCTCTGACATTCCTAGAATCCAGGCATCTTGAAGCCCCACCCCCCACATACACCCTGAGCCCCATCTCTCTCTGCAGGGGCCTTCCCATGTCCTGGTCTCCCAACTTGTCACTCTCCTGTCTCCCCCCACCCCCCACAGAGAAAATGACCATATTTGAAAATGTCACCCGGGCCCTGGCCAGACAGCTAAACCCTAGAGGGGACCTGACACCCCTTGACAGCCTCATAGACTTCAAGCGCTTCCATCCCTTCTGCCTGGTGCTGAGGAAGAGAAAGAGCACTCTCTTCTGGGGTGCCCGATATGTCCGCACTGACTACACCCTCCTGGATGTGCTTGAGCCTGGCAGCTCACCTTCAGGTTAGTCTGGACACGGGGTTGAGGATGGAGGGGTGGGGCCAGGCACTGGCTTGTGAGGAGGAGCCCAAAGCTCCCTCTGCCCAGATGTGGTTTGGTGTCCTGTAGCCCAAAGTTCTTCCAGAAGGCGAGGGAAGAGGAACGCCTGCCAGCCTGGCCCCTTTCATCTTCTCTCTCCTGCAGATCCAACAGACTCTGGGAACTTTAGCTTTAAGAATATGCTGGATGCCCGAGTGGAGGGAGAAGTGGACATGCCAAAGACAGTCAAGGTGACGGGGACTGCAGGGCTGTCCAGAAGCAGTACCCTGGAGGTCCAGACACTCAGTGTGGCTCCCAAGGCTCTGGAGACCTTGCACCAGGAGAGGTGAGAATGAAAGGGCTGGAGGGCTATCAGGATGGGGTGGGTGGTGCCTGGAAAGGGTGCTTTGGGCCCTGAGCTAAAGGGCAGGGCCTTCACACTGACCTTCACCTATGTGGTCACCACAGGAGAGCTCTTGAATATGACCCTTCTGGCCCATGAGTGCCTCCGGGCCATTCCCTAACCATTCCCCCCATCCTTCCGCTACCTCCAGTACCACCCCCCTACTATCATATACACACATGAGGATGCGTATGGTCACATTAACTTGCCGTGTGACCTTGGAAAAATCACTTGTCCTCTCAGAACCTCAGTTTTCTTTCCTGAAAAATGATGGGGTTCAACGAAAATCTCTAGGGCTCCTTCCTAAACTATGACTCTATAAAATACACTAAAAAAGGAAAGGGTCTTAACTGCTCCCTAGTGAAGCCTGAGCACAGAGTTCTGCTCCCATAAATCAAGCCATCTGCTCAGTCCCATCCACACACCAGGTGCCCTCGGGAATGCTGCCCCAGCAACACAAGGGGTGTGGCAGATGCCATGTCGATGTGGTAGTCTGGACATCTCAGATGTTTGGCTTGACAGGGAACTAACTTTTAAGTTAGTTAAGTAGTGGTTGAAAGAAGGAGATGAGGACTGGGGAGGCAGGAAGGAAGGGCTGGGGTGCTTAGAAAGTCACCCAGTAAATATTTATATAGTCTCACTGAGTGCAAAATACCCTACTAGGTGCCAGGGTGCACTAGGACATCTTTGTCCAAGAACCTTGCAATCTAGGAGTTGGGGGCAGGAGAGATGTACAACAGTGACTATAATCAATCCAAGGTGAGAAGTAGTAAGTGCCATAGGAGGACTTTGCCTGAGTTTTGTGGCAGGCCAGAGGGACTTCTGGCTGGGGAAATGAACAAGGACTTCAGAGGAGGCAGCCCATGATCTAGGCTTTGAAGGATGAGTAGAAATTGAACATGCAAGTCTGGGAGAAGGACATTACAAAGGCACATGGGTGAGAAACCTCAGAACCTCTAGGGAGAATGAAGAGCTGGTTTGGCAGGAGCAGAAAAGGTAAGAGTAGAGCAAGTGGGAGGTGGTAGGGAGGCCTAGACCATGGAGGGCCCAGGTGTCTGGTCAAGGAGGTGGAACTATTCTGTAGGCTTCAGGGGGACCCTGATGACACCTTGATGTGTCATGATTAATCTGGCCACATGAAAGGAAGCTAGAGGAGGAGGGACAGGAGTTGGAAGGAGGCAGACTAGGCAAGACACCGTTCCATTGTCCATCTGAGATACAAAATGAGGATCTGAGATATAAAATGAGGGAAGAGCAGCCAGAATAAAGAGGGGGGAACCGTTGGGGCTGGGGGACCTCTGGGGTGACAGAATAGACTGGACTTGACAGCCAACTGCAGGGTGAGGGAGAAGGTTTCGTCAAAGATGGAGATCCGATGTACAGCAGGATGACGACAGTTCATAACTCTATACTGTACACTGGAAATTTGCTAAGAGGGTAGATATCAGGTGCTCTCACCACACACACACACACACACACACACACAAAACGGTAACTATGTAAGGAGATGGATATGTTAATTAGCTCAACTGTAGTAATCATTTCTCTATGTATATGTCCATCGAAACATGTTGTGGGGCACCTGGCTGGCTCAGTCGGAAGAGCGTGCAGCTCTTGATCTTGGGGTTGTGGGTTCAAGCCCTACATTAGGTGTACAGATTACTAAAAAAATAAACTTAAAAAAACCATGTCATATACCTTAAGCGTATACAACTTTTATCAAAATTAATTAATTAATTAAATACGTGAGAATTTTAAAAAGATAACTCTAAGATTTGACCCAAGTGATGACATTAACAGAAACAAGAAGCCTGATTTTAGAAGTGTATTTGGAGAGAAAGATTGTAAGTCCCTTTTGGACGTTTTGAGTTTGCGGGTCCAGTGAGACATTAGCTGAGGGGCCACAGTTAACGACACTGCATTGCAGATGTTGGACATCTAAAACCAATATGATGTTATATGTCAATTATATCTCAAGTTTAAAAGAAAAAATTTTAAGTTTATTTATTTATTTTGAGACAGACAGATACAGCGTGAGTGGGGGGATGGGCAGAGAGAGGGAGACGGAGAATCCCAAGCAGGTTCCGCGCTGTCAGCACGGAACCCCACACAGGGCTCAGACTCACGAAACCATGAGATCATGACCTGAGCCTATACCAAGAGTCAGATGCTCAACCGACAAGCCACCCAGGTGCCCCTAAAAGAAAAATTTTAAGGCAGTTAGAAATGAGGGCCCAGAGCTCAGGAGAGAAGTCAGGTGAAGATCCCTGTGTGGTGGTGAGCCATATAAAGATGAAAACTATAGGAAGGGGGTTGGGGGCAGGGGAGGATGTTCGAGAGAGTTCAGACAGCAAAGAACTGAGAACAGAATCTTAGAGAATGTAAAATTTTAGGGAACCAAAGAAACTAACACAGGACATGTAGACAGAACGGATAGGAATCAGAAGCCCAAAGGGTGGGAGCAGAAGCAGGGTGGCACAGTGGGACTGGAAGCCCCGGAGACAGAGTCACAGGGAGGTTTTGGCCAGCAGGGGTCAGTGTTGTGCAGAGTTAGGGAAGGTCTTTGAATTTGGTGGGCAGGAGGTCGTTGGGATTTCAGTGGAGGAGGAGAATGAGAAGCCAAATTATAAAAGAATTTAGGAGTGGACAGGAAGTAAAGACTGTGTATGGGCGTAGCTTTCCAGATACTTGCCAAAGAAGTGAAGGAAAGAAATGGAATGGTAATTTGAGGGAGTAGAAAGATCAAAGCACACGTTTATGTGGGCAAGCAAATGGGGTCAAAGGAACTAGGGTTAATAGCAGAGACAGGATGAGAGATGGGGACAAAGGACCCTCGGAGAGATGAACAGGGCTAAGAACGGGGTTGGGGGGAGAGAGGGGAAGGCACCCCAAGGCAGAGGGAAAAGGGGGAAAGAGCAACCAGAGGGGCCTGTTCCGGGCCAGAAGCTGTGCCAGCTGATTTCCCAGTTTCCCTCTCAGCAACTCTGCAGGGAAGGGTAATTATCCTCATTTTATAGATGAGGCGCCCAAGACTCAAAAGTAACTGCTCTGCTAGTAAGCTGGAGATCTGGGCTTCAGCCTCGGTCTTACTCCAGAGTCCTCACCCTTTCCCTGACGCCACCATGCCTAGCTCCTGGGAATGACCGAAGAAAAGAGAAGCTCATGGCCCATGCCTGGAGAGGTTCTGGCTGATTCCTTAATGCTTCCTCTGCCACAGGAAGCTGTCAGCTGAGCACCCGTTCCTGAAGGAGATGCGAAACCGAGGGGAGAACTTGTATGTGGTGATGGAGGTGGTGGAGACCGTGCAGGAGGTCACTCTGGAGAGAGCTGGCAAGGCGGAGGGTTGCTTCTCCCTCCCATTCTTCGCCCCGTTGGGACTACAGGTTTGGTTCACACACGCGCACACACACTTACATTTAGCCTCTCTTTAGAGGCTGCGTTAACACATTAACTTTACCTCATCGGTGCCCACCCAGGATACTAAAAAGAACCCCCTCGTTCTTCCTGCTTTTCAAGATTCAGGCTCCTGTCGGCCAGACACAAATCCTCTCTCTGGCAAGGGTGCCCTGGGTGGGTAGATCCCTGTGCCAAACGCCACAGGGAGCTATCAAGGAAGGGGAAACTCATAGTCATGGATTTTCCCTCATGGTGCTCCCAACGTACAGGAGAGACATCCTTGCTCTTAGAAAGTTCTCAGTCTCATGGAGGAGACACACAGGTTAAAGCCCAGAGAACACAGGCTTAGAAAATTCGACATAAATAAGTAATGGTCTACATACCTAAATCTAGTTTGTATAAATCTTCAAGGGATGAGTTGGAGCTAAGAGTAGGATTAGTCATGGAAGGCTTCTCAGAGGAGATGAGCACAAGACAGATGGCGAAGAGGAAGAAGGCACCTGGGCCTGTGGAAGCTCTCAGGTGGGACAGAGATGCACAGGCAGGTGACGGAGCAGGTCTGGCCACTTCCTTCATGTGTCTGAACCAGGAAGAGAGATAGAGATTGTTAGTGGGATGATGCAAAAGAGCTTTGAAGCTCATTCCATGAAGTCCAGACTGGTGGAAAGACAATCTGGGACACCAGTAAAGGGTTTTCAACTTCTTATCTCCTCATTTCCCCCTCCCCCACCCCATGTCTCAGAATCTCTGCAGGTTCATAAATCCTCACTGTCTGATCCTAGGGATCCATAAACCACAAGGAGGCCGTAACCATCCCCAAGGGCTGCATCCTGGCCTTTCGAGTGAGACAGCTGATGGTCAAAGGCAAAGATGAGTGGGGTGAGCAGACACTGGCATATTCTCCCCTCAAGACAAGAATTACCCGCATTAGTACTAAGGCATCCCGGTCCCGTCTTGCGGCAAGTCAGGGAATAGTGCAGGAGTGTACTGTAATGTGGCCCACCTGCTGGGGAAAGAACTGCAGAGGTTGCTCTGGAGAGGAAGTGAAGGAATCCCTGGGTTCTGAGCATCTCCTCTGTGCTAGGCACTGCGTTAGCTGGGGAAAGGGGACACAGAGATGAACAAGCACAGCCTCTGCTCTCAAGAAGTCTGTGGCCAGTGGAAGAAACATCCATAGACACCAGTACTAGGATGCAAGGCAGAAAATAGTGTTGTCATGGGAAAGGATTTACAGAGAAAGAAAAGGGTTCTTCTAGCAATAGAGGTAGATCGGGGGTTAGGTGAGGCATTTAGGGACAGGGACCTACCTAGCCCTTAGCAGAGCCCATGGACTTGAGAATGGAGAAGGGAAGGTGGGTAGCTGTTAAAGGTCCTCCTGTTCTCCCCTCTCTTGCACCTTTACAGATATTCCACATATCTACAATGATAACATGCAAACCTTCCCTCCTGGAGGTAAGTGAAATTGCTACCTGGTTTCCCATATCTTCTGCCCAACCCTGATATCATCTGCTAAAATCCTGTACCCTCTAACAGCATATACCATAGTCCCCCAAGGAGCCCCTGGTTTTGTTTCCCAAGTCCCCAAAAATATCTATCCCCAACTTTAGGCAAGACAGATAGAAGCACATGAATACTGCCCTAGAGAGACAGAGAACCAGAAAGACAGACCAGAAGGCACCACTGGAAGCAGAAATGAAACTTGGAGGCATTGTGTGTTCCCAAATTGGGGGGGGGGGGGCGAGCTAACATAGTCTCTGTGTGTTTTTATAATGATCACTGATAAAGCCACCTTGACATCCGCTCTAGATAAAAAAGCACAAATAGGTTTTATAGTGACATATGTGCATTGTTTCTGTCTTCAGAAAAGCCAGAGGAGAAGCTCACCCGTAAGTGTTTCCTCTCATTTCGCTGCAACTTTCTTGACACAGATTTTTAAAACTCAAGTCTTTTTCTGACAACGGGGAACATGGCAGAGCAGGTCTCGGCAAACAACTGTCCCCGAAATGTGGCAGAAATTCCAATAGCTTAGGAAAAAGTGGTGGAAGGGGGAAGTCTTTGGGCAGGATACCCAGGTGGTCTGATGCCTCAAAGGGCCTTCTTAGCTATAACCTGTCCCATCTGCAACTCTGCCATCCACACCCAGCACCCGGGACGGGAGCCACTGAGTCACCATGATGCCAACTCAGTCAATCCGGGAGCCCTTTTTCACGTTGCATTAGCTTCTCTCCTGCCCCATTCCTGCCTCCCACAAATGGAGCAGGTGGAGCCTTAAGATGGCTGGGATATCCCAGGAGACAGGATACATTTCCTAACCCCCATTAATGTGTCATCCCCTGGGTATGGCTACTGTTTCGGAGGAGTACATTCTTGTTTTTTGTTTTCCCCCTCAGTTATCCTGGCATCTGATGCTGGTAAGGAATTTTGTAAGTTTCTCCCATGACTTTGGCATGAAGACAGTGGGGTGAAGGGAGGGAAAGGGAAGTGCTGAGTCCCAGGTCCTGGTAATTGGAGCTACTTCCAGGAAGCCACTCTCCAGGACATATTCTTAGGATGCGAGGCCCCTGGAGAGTCAGGCCAAGATTCAAGCTAACCTTGATCTACCCACGTCCATGGATATAGACCCATCCATGCTAGCCTTCACTCAGTCACCAAAGTCATTCTTTGTCAACTAATTCATAAGAAGGAGAAATAGACTTTCCTTCTCAACTTTTAGCTGGAGTTTTGAAGAAAGGGGAATCAATTGTCTACTGCTGCAGAATGGGGCTTGAGAGCCCAGGGACAATCAACTCCCCCCTTAGATATTAATGTGGGTCCTGGTCCACCTCCTTGCCCAGACCATCACCACAACTCCTTCCACAAGTAAGGCTAGCAGAAACTTCACAATCCTGTTCCTTGGTCAAGAAGAAAGAGAGGCGAGGCTCAGGCTGGGAGCAGAGCACAGGGACTTGAGGGAGGCTGAGTGAAGGAGCCCCGCAGGCAGAATGCTGACTGAATGGGCAGGCTGCCAGATGGCAGATGGTTTGTTTACCATGTTTACTATCCCAATAGGGGAGGAACTTGAGGACTTCAAGACACTAAAAGAAGAAGTTCAAAGAGAGATCCAAGAAGTGGAAAGGCTGAGCCAAGTAGGGCAAAGCTCCCTGCTCACCTCCCTCAGCAAACTTCTCGGGAAGAAAAAGGAGCTACAAGACCTGGAACTCACGGTGAGGTCGCAGAGAAAGGTTGCTGGTAGACACGTGTGGGTGTCACAACTGGCAGGGGGAGTTAACAGTAGGTGGATGTCTCCCTCCAGTGGGTGGATGTCCAGGTGCCCCCCAGACTGCCAGGCGGCCACTGCTCCCTCATTCCTCTGGAAAAGGGCAAACGATGCAGATTCCCTCAAGGCACGACAGAGGGTGGGCAGCAGGCCAGCAGGCCCTTTTCTTGGAAAGAGGACTGGAACATTTCCTTTCCAGAGTCCAAGGCTCAGGGACCAAGAAATCCAAGGTGTCCAGTACTTTTTATGACTTTGTACCTTGATAAAGAAGCAAGGACATGAGTTAGCACATCTCCAGGGACTGTTATGTGCCAGGCACTATGCTTGGCCCCTTCATTGTGTTATCTTACTTAGTTGCCCACCTTTCCCCACAGCTTGAAGGGGCTCTAGACAAAGGACATGAAGTGACCCTGGAGGCACTCCCAAAAGATGTCTTGCTATCAAAGGAGGCTATGGGTGCCATCCTCTATTTCCTTGGAGCCCTAACAGGTAAATGGAGAATAAGGTCTTCATTTATATACATTTTCGGCGATAGGAATGAATCACTGAATGAATCCCCAGATATACAAATGAATGAATGAATGAATGAATGAATGCCAGGCAAATTATACCACAGTTAAGTAGTATATACCTACATTTAAGGAATTTGGTTATAGGGGTGCCTGGATGACTCAGTTGGTACAGCATGTGACTCTTGATCTCGGGGTCATGAGCTCAAGTCCCACGTTGGGCACAGAGATTGTTTTAATAAAATAAAATAACAAAAATTTTAAAAAATTGTTTGCCTTCCTAAGGCATCACTTGGGCACCTTGAATAGTCTGGGAAGGTGGCCTAGTCTTGCTAATAGAGGTTGGGAAGTAACCCTAGCTTTACCAGCCACGTAATTAAAATTTCTACATATGGCTAAGCTCATCACTTTTGTATCAAAATTTGTTAGCTTTATTTGATTTTATTATTTATTTTGAGAGCGAGAAAGCGTGAGTGGGGGAGGGGCAGAGAGAGAGAGAATCCCGAGCTGGCTCTGCACTGACGCGGGGCTCCAACCCACGAACCGTGAGATCATGACCTAAGCTGAAGTCAGACCCTTGACCGACTGAGCCATCCAGGCACTCTGAAATTTGTTAGCTCTAATTTCAGAGAGTAACATCTTCTGATCTTGCCCTGAATTCTCTTCTTCCCTCTGCATGAAACATTGCCCCTTAGAAAAATGCTCTAGTCCTTCAGGAGTAAGCTGAGATGTTTGTCCTCTTAAAAAGTCTGCCCTCAAATGCCAAGACCAAAATAGACCCCTCGGCTATTGTTCCATCGCTCCCTTAATACCCTGTATTGTCACTGCACGTGGCTTTGCCTTCTCCACTACACTGCAAGTTCCCTGAATGCAGGGGTATGACTTTGCTGACACGCCCAGCAAAGGTGCCTAGCATAAAGCAGCAAGCATTCAACCGTGGATAAATGTGTGGATTAACTAACACTGACGTTCTGGAAGGGCATCCATTTCGAGTCTGTAATCCCCTTCGTACCCACACCACACACTCATTTCTCTGCTTTTCTTTTCCCTCCAGAGCTAAGTGAAGCCCAACAGAAGCTGCTGGTAAAATCGATGGAGAAAAAGATCCTACCCGTGCAGCTAAAGCTGGTGAGAAAAAACAGCAGGTGCTAGAGAGAGTTTGGGAGGGAGTCAGCTAGAACCAGTGGAAAGACACAGACTGAGCCTAATGACAGACTGTCCTGAAGGGCCTCTGTCGTATCACAGGGGCTCATGCCCACGCTCATTTTTCTCCGTGTTCTCCCTTTTTTTTTTTTTTTT